TTTTGACAACACTGGTGTTTTTATTGTCACAAACTTGGACACACTCGTGAAATGTGCTATTCCTTACATGGTCGTCCACCCAAAAATGCTTACGTTGCTCAGAACGAGACTACAGGTAACCAGAGATTTTCTTTATCTAAAGAAGAATATAATGAGCTCCTTCAGTATCGAGCAAGTAAGCAGACATCTCCACAAGTAGCCTCGGTTGCCCAGACTGATACTTCTGTTGCTGGTAGTTCTTTTGCTTGTGTTTCCAGTCTAGTACAGACCCTTGGACCATGGGTCATGGACTCGGGCGCTTATGATCACATCTCTGGTACAGTCTCTTCCCACTGTTACTTTAGCCAATGGATGTCAAACTAAGGCAAAAGGAGTTAGGCAAGCTAACCCCTTCTCTTCTATCCCCTAGATTCCGTTCTTTATGTCCTTGGTTGTCCTTTTAGTTTCGCATCTGTTAGTCGTTTGACTCGTTCCCTCCATTGTGATATATATTTTACTGATGATTCCTTTATTATGCAGGACCGCAGTACAGAACGGACAATTAGTACAAGACGTGAATCAGAAGGCCTTTACTACCTTAACTCACTCGGTCCTTCCACAACATGTCTAGTTACAGATCCTCCAGACCTAATCCACAGACGTTTAAGACATCCGAGTTTATCCAAACTTCAGAAGATGGTGCCTAGTTTATCTAGTTTGTCTACATTAGATTGTAAGTCGTATAAGCTTGGGAAACATACCCGAGCCTCCTTTCCGCTTAGTGTTGAGAGTCATGCAGAGTCTATTTTCTCCTTAGCTCATTCTGATATATGGGGTCCTAGTAGAGTCAGTTAAAACTTGGGATTTCGTTATTTTGTTAGTTTTATTGATGATTATTCAAGATGTACTTAGCTTTTCTTAATGAAAGATCGTTCTGAGTTATTTTCTATATTCTAAAGTTTCTGTGCTGAAATCAAAAACTAATTTGGTGTTTCTATTCGCATTTTTCGCAGTGATAATGCCTTAGAATATTTATCTTCTCATTTTCAGTAGTTTATGACTTCTCAAGGAATTATTTATCAGACATCTTGTCCTTATACCCCTCAGCAAAATGGAGTTGCAGAGAGAAATAATAGGCACCTTATTGAGACTGCTTGCACACTAAAAATTAAATCTCGTGTTCCGTTGCGTTTTTGGGGCGATGCAGTTCTCACAGCTTGTTATTTGATTAATCGGATGCCTTCATCTCCCATCAAGGATCAGATTTCGCATTCAGTATTGTTTCCCCATTCAGCCTTATACTTTCTTCCACCTCGTGTTTTTGGGAGCTCGTGTTTTGTTCATAACTTAGCCCCGGTGTAACATAAGTTAGCTCCTCGTGCTCTCAAGTGTGTCTTCCTTGGTTATTCTCGTGTTCAGAAGGGATATCGTTGTTATTCACCTGATCTTCGTAGGTACCTTATGTCAGCTGACGTCACATTTTTTGAGTCTAAACCTTTTTTACTTCTGCTGACCACCATGATATATCTGAGGTCTTACCTATACCGACCTTTGAGGGGTTTACTATAGCTTCTCCTCCACCTTCGATCACAGAGGTTTCACCCATACCAACCGTTGAGGAGTCTAGTGTTGTTCCTCCTAGTTCCCCAGCCACATGAACACCACTCTTGACTTATCATCGTCGTTCGCGCCTTACATTAGGCCCAACTGGTTCTCGTCCTGCACTTGACCCTGCTCCTACTGCGGACCCTGCTCCTAGTACACCGATTGCACTTCGGAAAGGTAATACGGACCACACTTAACCCTAATCTTCATTATGTCGGTTTGAGTTATCATCGTCTGTCATCTCCCCATTATGCTTTTATATCTTCTTTGTCCTCGGTTTCCATCCCTAGGTCTACAGGTGAAGCGTTGTCTCATCCAGGATGGCGACAGGATATGAGTGACGGGATGTCTGCTTTACAGACAAGTAGTACTTGGGAGCTTGTTCCTCTTCCTTCAAGTAAATCTACTGTTGTTTGTCGTTGGGTTTATGCAGTCAAAGTTGGTCCCGATGGCCAGATTGATCGACTTAAGGCCCGTCTTGTTGCCAAAAGATATACTCAGATATTTGGGCTCGATTACAGTGATACCTTCTCTCCCGTGGCTAAAGTGGCATCAGTCCGCGTTTTTCTATCCATGGTTGCGGTTCGTCATTGGCCTCTCTATCAGCTGGACATTAAGAATGCCTTTCTTCACTGTGATCTTGAGGATGAGGTTTATATGGAGCAACTGCCTGGTTTTGTTGCTCAGGGGGAGTCTTGTGGCTTTGTATGTCGCTTGCGTCGGTCACTTTATGGTCTAAAACAGTCTCCTCGGGCCTGATTTGGTAAGTTCAGCACGGTTATCTAGGAGTTTGGCATAACTCGTAGTGAAGCTAATCACTCGTGTTTTATCGGCACTCTGCTTCAAGTCTCTGTATTTATCTGGTAGTATATGTTGATGATATTGTTATTAATGGCAATGATCAGGATGGTATTACCAATCTGAAGCAGCATCTCTTCCAGCACTTTCAAACTAAGGATCTGGGCAGATTGAAGTACTTTCTAGGTATTGAGGTTGAAAGTCTAGCTCAAGTATTGTTATTTCTCAAAGAAAATATGCTTTAGACATTATTGAGGAGACATGGATGATAAGTTGCAAACCTGTTGACACTCTGATGGATCCGAATTCTAAACTTCTGCCAGGACAGGGGGAGCCGCTTAGCGATCCTGCAAGCTATAGGCGGCTGGTTGGTAAATTAAATTATCTCACAGTGACTAGACCCGGCATTTCTTATCCTGTGAGTGTTGTAAGTCAGTTTATGAATTCACCATGTGATAGTCATTGGGATGCAGTAGTCCGCATTATTCGGTATATAAAATCGGCTCCAGGCAAAGGGTTACTGTTTGAGGATCGAGGCGAGCAGATCGTTGGATACTCAGATGCTGATTGGGCAGAATCACATTCTGATAGACATTCTACGTCTGTATATTGTGTTTTAGTAGGATGCAATTTGGTATCTTGGAAGAGCAAGAAGCAGAATGTAGTTGCTCGGTTTAGTGCAGAAGCAGAATATCGAACAATGGCCATGGCAACATGTGAGCTAGTCTGGACCAAACAATTGCTCAAGGAGTTGAAATTTGGTGAAATCAATCGGATGGAACTTGTGTGAGATAATCAAGCTGCCCTTCATATTGTATCAAATCCGGTGTTCCATAAGAGAACTAAACACATTAAGATTGATTGTCACTTCGTCAGAGAAAAGATACTTTCAGGAGAGATTGCTACAAAGTTTGTGAGGTCGAATGATCAACTTGCAGATATTTTCACCAAGTCCTTCACTGGTCTTCGTATTGGTTATATATGTAACAAGCTCGGTACATATGATTTGTATGCACCGGCTTGAGGGGGAGTGTTAGTTTAAAACTATGTACATAATATAGTCTTGTACCACATTGGAATAGGAGTAATATGTCCTTGTAGTGTATAACCATAAATAAGGACCTCTTGTATTGTATTCATCATCTCATATCAAAAATATATTTTTTCCCGTGCTTTCTCTCATGGTTAACTTGATCTTTTAAACAGAAAAGAGTGCAGCCTGTCATTTCCTCGAAGAGTATTTCTACCCTGGCTGGCTGATACATTCCTTTGTGACTACATACAACCGTCTGAATCAGTTGAGGTGAGTTGTGCCCATATTCTTTGGTGAAGCAAGTAATATTTCTCAGCTATAGTTTGTTTTATTGGTCGTATAATGAAACATAAATGATATTTTTCTCTAGTCTTATTGCCTTTTTGCCTGAAAAGCAAAAGAAGTTATGTCTTTGATGTAGGCACTACTTCAAAGTCCTGTAACTATACTGAAGCTGCAGGCACTTTTTTCTTTGCTTGTTTGCATCTCTAAAACACTATGAGAGCTTGGTGGTAGAATACATGATTCTTGTACAGTTTTTCAGTAGTTGACCACCTTAAGGAATGTGTTCCTTATGAATTTTTAGGATAAAAATGATTCTCAAGAAAAACCAATACCTTTCTATATTGTTTGTCGTTAACTGAAGCTTCTTCCTTTATCTCACCGAACCATGAGCACACTTTCGTTTGATATCACACTTGCTGAGATCCTTACTGCAACATTTTGTTGTCTCCCTGTGATAATTGTATATGGGGCTGTACATTAAAGGTTCAGCTGCTAAAGAATTGGATCTCCCTTGGCAACGAAGCTATTTGGTAAATTAATTGTTAGAGCAGTATTTGTTAGATCATTTTATACCTACCATATTGCTCAATGCAACTAAACATGTCATAATTTTGAGATTATACCATACATTCAGCTCTGATGTGCTATAGTATGACAGGTTCTCAAGGATCATTTTGCCGAGCTCATGTCTATAGAGTTCCCGAACGATTCTGCCAAGATCTTGGAGCCTGAAACTGAAGCTTCTGCATTGGTATCTACCACAACAAAATCGTTTAGGGAGGTGTCAACTCCATATTTGTTGCTACCAAAGCCAGACAATTCACTCTCAAGGCAGAATAGAGCTGGTACGAGCTTGGGAAGTGACCAGAAATCTACGAAGCCAGCTAGTTTTAGCTTCACGATTGCTGTTTCGGTTCTTGTTATATCAATTATTCTAGGAGTTGTGCTATTTGTTATCAGGTCATCCTAGCTAACACAGTGGCTTACAAAAAATTATCAGTTACTGTCTCTTGTATGTACTCTTGCCATGAATTAAAACGTCTAGAATGATTTGAGGTTTGAGTTTACGCTAATCCAGAGATTATTGTTATACAAAGTTTGATCAAGTTTGTGTTGGCAAATAACGCAGGTAACATGGGAAAAGTTTGATGTTCGACTATTTCAGACGTTAAGATTTTCAACTGAGAAATACAATCTAAAACAGATTTTCGACAGCCATACATTGGAGAAGAGTAAAATATTGCAAGAAAAAAGCTGTCTTGGATGAACGTACACCACAAACTCAAAATGATGCGCAAAATTCAAACCATGAACGCCTGGAAGGCAGGCAGCCTTCCAGTCCTCCTGTCTCCAGTCATTAATGTGTTGTATAAAGTATTACAACAATAAATGCTTAATAATGCTTGTACGACATAGAAGGAACGACACTAGCACTTGCTTGAATAAAATTTCTCAGAAAACTGATACCCCTTAGTCAGCCTAATAACGCTAATTTAAGCACATGAGCATTCACTATCTTACTTCGGAAGAAACATTCCAAACTAAAATTTTTGGTTTCCCGGCAATTCAAATAATTTAGGCGATGCTCCTCACCGGTATCATCATCATCGCTTGGGACGTCTGCTCCTCTAGGAATTTTCCCCGGATAATCAGTTGTTGAAGAATCGAATCCAATCATACTGTCGATGATAAGGGGCATCAGCAATTCCATAAATTGAAGATGAATAAATCAACAGGTCTTGGAAACACATACCTTCTATCAACAATAACCGAAGTTCACAATTATTGAATCTGAAAATATAGATACCAAATATAATGACATGTTTCCATATCATATGCTGAAATAATTCAGTACATCTCAAAAAGTAGAGGCCAACTACTGACATGTTTTCCACTATCCTTCAAAGCTGAGACACTGCTTTGAGCTATAAATATATGCAAGTTTTCTCCTTGAATCACAGAAATTAGCAAAAGCCTTTTAAATGACCAAATTAAAACCAAAACAATATATGCACATCTCCGTACTCGTTACATCGCCACTAACTTCGGACCACGATAGAAACAACATAACTCAATAATTTCATAAGCAGAAACAAAGAAAGGAGAGAAAAATCGGAGAACCCGGAGAGACTGAAAGAAGACAGAGGAATTGCAAAAGGCAAACACCACTTTTTCTTTACCTAAAAGGGCTCTAAAGTGGCCCAATTTAAGTTCAGCTAGGAAATAATGTAAACTAAGTAGAGGGGTAAAACTGACCTTTTGAGCCGCAACAGGACGACGAAGACCTACTTACTCCTGCTTCTAAATAGTAGGAGCTAGTATTCAAGTACAATCCATCATGGGAAGAGTAAGAAAATGAAATAGTGCAAAATTTTGAGTTAAATTAGTTAAAACCTGACTCAATGAGTTATTCAAAAGTTACGTTAACATTTCAAAATTGATAACAAAAAAGAATTACTAGAAGCAATGAGATTGTAGTGATTTACCAGTGACCTGCAGGGCTGAAATCACACAAAAGATATGGGAATATGAAGAGAAAAACATAAATCATGTATCTTCAAGATATCACCAACATGATAGTAAATGTGCAAGTAAAGATTTTTCCATCCCAATTGTACGCTAAAAAAGCCGAAAACCATGCTGGAAGAGCAACAAATCAACTCAATTAACCCTGGAAATTGGATCAACCTCATCTCCTAGACCTTTGCTTTGCTTTTGAGTCAAAATGGTGAGCTCTAAGCCTTTTCTTTCGCATGACATTTGCCTGCCCAACAGCACCTTCTCTAAATGGCATACCCATGAGGGCCAGTAATCTATGTGCCTCTTTATCTGTCTCAGCTGTTGTTGTTATGCAAACATCCATTCCTCTTGGCTTACCAAGAGCATCATAACTTAGCTCCGGGAAGACACTCTGTTCACGAAAGCCAATGCTATAATTTCCATGACCATCAAAGCTATTGGGGTTTACACCTTGAAAGTCCCTCGTTCGAGGAAGCCCAAGATTAATGAACCGGTCAAGGAAAGAAAAAATCACCCATCAAGAAGAAGATCTGAGTTTGCAGCACAAAAGCAAATAACATATGATGGTTGTGATGACCCAAAATATCATCTTTAAATTTAATAATTAATTATGTGTTCTAAGATCTCGAAAAGTACTATTTATCATTTCTCGACTTGCGTGCGCAATTCGTAAAATTTCATGGAAAGTTTTTATGTGAAAAATGAATTTAAAATGTGGATTAGAGCTTTAAAACTCAATTGAGTTGACTTTGGTCAACATTTTCAGCAAACGGACTAGGATCAGTATTTTGACAGTTCCGGTAGGTCCGTATTGTGATTTGGGACTTGGGCGTATGCCCGAAATCAAATTCCGAGCTCCCTAACCCGAGATATGGAATTTTGAAGAAAAATTAAAATGTTTAAGTTCGAATAGAGACCGGATGTCTAATTATGTGAAAACGACCCCGGAATAGAATTTTGATGATTCCAACAGTTCTGTAAGTTGATTTTGGACTTAGGAGCGTGTTCGGAATTTTATTTGAAAGTTCGTAGTTAAATTAGGCATGAAATGGCTAAAAACAAGAATTTAAGTTTGGAAGTTTGACCGATGAGTTGACTTTTTGATACCGGAGTCGGAATCCAGTTCCGGAAATTTTCATAGCTCCGCTATGTAATTTATGACTTGTGTGTAAAATTTGAGGTCAATCGGAGTTGATTTGATAGGTTCCGACATCTAATGTAGAAGTTGAAAACTCTTAGTTTCATTAAGCTTGAATTGGGGTATGATTCATGGTTTTAGCGTTGTTTGATGTGATTTAGAGGTTTGACTAAGTTCGTATGATGTTTTAGGACTTGTTGGTATATTTGGTTGAGGTCCGGAGGGCCTCGGGTGTGTTTCAGATGGTTAACAGATCAAAATTGGACTTAAAAGCTACTGCAGTGTTTCCTCTTCTGTTGGATATTCTGTGTTGATATCGAGCCCAGGGTTGACGAGGCTCAGGCTCGAGCTTGAGATAGAAGCCACGATCGAAGGTCCAGCTCGAGGACATGATCGAAGGTAAGGCTCGAGGGCTAGGATCGAGACCCATGGTCGATGCCCTGATCGAAGGCCCATGCTCGATGCTCTGATCGAAGGCCCATGCTCGATGCCCTGATTGAAGGCATGCTCGATGCCCTGATCGAAGGCCCAACTTCGATGCCCTGATCGAGGCCATGACCGAGGTCCAGGCTCGAGCCTGTGATCGAAGCCGCGATCGAGGCCCAGTTCGAGGACCAGTTCCGAAGGCTGCTGGGCAGTTTTATAAAAAGAGGGCATTCGTCCCATTTGCCATTTTTGACGAACTTGAGCTTGAGCAGAGGCGACTTTTGGCAGATTTTCAAGGGAAAAACATTGGGGGTAAGTGATTCTAACTCGGATGTAGTCTACATATACAAGTATATCATTGTTTTCACCATAAATTAGTGTATTGAGATTTAAATTTGGGAAAATTTTAGAAATCACATAGAAACGAATTTTTGAGATTTCGGTATCGATTCGGAGTCGGATTTGAGTGAAACTGGTATGGTTGGACTCGTAATTGAATGGGTTGTCGGATTTCATAACTTTCGCCAGATTCCGAGATATGGGCCCCGCGGGTGAATTTTTAATTAATTTCGGGATCTTTTCTTAAAGATGTGGTATTTTTTTTTTATAGAATTGATTCCTATAATATTTGNCATTTGAAGGAATTTGATTATTTTCGCTGATTAAATAAATTATTATAAATTCTGTAATTTATGCAGATTTAAATATCCTAGTTTTATTTCAGTTATTATTGACCCATAGTAAGTGTCAAAGTCGGCCATCTCGTCTCTACCACTTCGAGATTAGGCTTGATACTTACTGGGTACACGTTGTTTACGTACTCATACTATACTTGCTGTACTTTTTGTGCAGGATCTGAGACAGGTACTAATGGAGGACCTATCATCACATACCCATGTCATCCCGAGGCATAGTGGTGAGCTGCCTTTCTGAGCCGTTCTGCAGCTACCAGTGTCTCTTCTTATATTTATATTCTGTCTATTTCATTTCAGACAATATTTGGAGTTTTGTATAATCTACTAGATGCTCATGCACTTATGACACCGGGTCTTGGCACACACACATTGGTAGAAGTTGGTATTTTATTATTTTCTTGGAATAAAAGTTTAACCAATGTACGTTTGACTTATTAGTTGGCTTGCCTTTGCTATAGTGTTGGGCGCCATCACAACCTATAGGTGAAATTGGGTCGTGACAATGGTAGAGCAGCAGCTATTCAGGGTCCTCCCAGTGGGTATTCAGGTCCCCAGGGCCAGACACTTAGTCAGCAGC